TGTCTCAAGCCTTGACGGGGGTGGTTGAGTGAGGCCCCTGAGGAGGCAGAGGTCAGTCCGCAGATGGAATCTGTCACCTGCCCCACAGCCGTGGCTGAAGGCAGAGGGAAGCTGCAGAAACTGATCCGGGAGGTGGAGGGGGCCCTGGAGGGAGGGTGGGGGAATGGAAGCAACCGGTTAGTCTGGGGCTGGCGTGGGCCCCAAGCATGGTGGAAGTGGGTCAGCTGTCCCTGTCACATGGTCATCCTCTGCTCCCCTCAGGTTGACGTTCTGCCCTGAAAGAGGGAGCTCAGTGAGCCCTGCCTGGGACATCCCCAAGAGCCCCCTTCCCCCCTCCCCCTCCGCCCTTTCTTTCACATCAGCCCTACCAACCCTCCAGAATTGGTTGGGATCCCGACCCTGCTGGTTTCCCCTGGGATGAAAGCCCGGGGCCCAGAGCCTGCTGAGCCCTCAGATGTGAAGGGCCCTCTGCGGGACCAGAGGGTGAACTGGGCCAGCCTCTGGCCAAGGTGTGAGGAGCTCTGGGCACTTGGGAGACAGGGGATGGAGCTCAGAGCTGGGCAAAGGCTGCAGGGTGGAGAGTGGCCCTGGCTGTGGTCCCTTAAGTGCAGCATGTGTGAGCGTGTGAATTCACATCCTCCCCAAGTAGGAGTCTACGCTCCAGGGGCAGCCACGGCCAGCGCTTCGAGGGTGGCCATCTACACTTGCACCATGGGGTCTGTTAATTCACATTGGAGTGTCAGAAGCCATCACTCTTTGGTGAAGATGTGTGCCTGGCAAGAAACTGCACAGGCCCCTCTGTTCAAGTCTGAATGAGCCCCATAACCCAGCAGAGCAGTGCCCTGGGCCCAGAACTTTCTGTAATTGGTCTTGGGTGCCCCCCACCTACAATGATCAGACTGGAGGGTTTGCCAGTCCTTGGTCAGCATGAGCATGTCCTTGAATTTGCCCTGGGATGGAAAGTGGTACTCCCTTGGGCTCCTGGGCAGGGGTAGGAGGTCTGCTTTTGTGCTTCTCTGCAATAGGTGCTTTAAGTGGGGCAGCATTGATTGCACTGTCACACACCACCTGTCCAGGAGGTGTGGGGTGAGGCCCACTGTCCTCACCTACCTCTGGTCCTCAGAGGCCACCATATCCCCTGCAGAAAGCTGACCCACCCTGCAGGGCCTGCTGGGAGGGGCTTCCTGGTCAAGGCGGGCAGTGCACAAACTGGCACTGGAGGAGCCCCCCGCAGTCAAACTCTGTCCCCCCTGCAGTCTTCCAGGGGAACACGTTTCCTGTGGGTTGGCCCTCCCTTTAAAGAGTGGGAGGAACAGGAGGAGGTCCAAAAGGAGTGAGCAGAGAGGTGGGGGGATGGGGGAAGAAAGGGGGGGCTCGGGAAGGGGGCAGGGAGGAGGGACAGGGTTTTGAAGCACGGGTGGTCTGGTTTCGAGTCTGAGAGATCACCTCACCCAAAGGAAGACTGGGCCAAAGAGAAGCCCAGATCACAGGGGCTTGAGAGAAGATGGGAGGAAGGTAAAAGGGGCTCCTTGCAGGGTCCCCATATGAGCAACACAACGGGCAACCCCATTGCTGCCAGGGAAGCCCGAGATGCCCTTCTAGGGCCAAATCCTGATGGAGCCAAGACTGACCCAACAACAAAGAAGGTGATGTTGCCATAACCAGTGAAGATGCTTTAAAATCATGATTCCAGGGCCTCTGCCTGCAGAGAATCTGATGGAACCTGGGACATTGTGTTTCCCCACTTTCCTAGATGATTCTGATGCACAGGAAGGTTTGGGAGCCACTGGTGTTGAGCCCTCCAATTCCAGCTCTTTTGGTCAGCCGTGGGCGAGGGCCAGCGGAGGGACAGTTCCTCCTGTGAGCCTGGGGACAGGAAAGACCTAATGGGAGGCAGGTGTGGAGGAAATCAGGGCCACGATGGAAGAGCTGAGGAGTTCGCTTCCCATCGAAGCAGGA